ATTACTCTCCACCCACATCTGCCTATATTCTATAGGAGAGGCAAAACACAATGAAAATTATGTAGGGTGTCCAATCTAATTTCCTATTAGATCGTACTTTACATAAATGACATAAATGCTTGTTTGGAATCCTACATAAAACTTCCGCTTCCGCACAGCGAAGGCAATGTCTAATTGGGAATCGTTGAAGTGAAGTCCATGATGGACCTCCTAGACTACTACAATTGTAGAGGTAAGTATCTTAGAAGATTAGCTTGTGATATACTGAAATTCTTTATCCTTTCGCCCACCCAGATTGTTACTCGTATCTCCCACAGTAACTAGCACCCTTTTTTCTTGCTCAACCATATTCGTTACATTGCTTTCATTAACCTCTGCAGACATCTCACTAGGTGGAAAATTGTTGGTGTGTGACAAAACAAACAAGAAAAAAGGGCAGGCGCAATCTGATTAAGTCAAGCCAGGAAGCTTCAAGAGAGCCTCCCATTTTTTGAGGGATAGGTCACTGCAGTTTTTTGGGCCGAAGAAGAACATCTGTCAATGCATATTATGAGCTCCTCTGTCATGAACCTGCTCAGTCCTTGTATCATGAGCATGCACAAGTTCATATATAGTATGAATGCATATATTACCTGTTACAGTGCTCTTATATGGTGTTGCAGTGTCTTCCTTAACCAGCAGAAGAATTACGTTCACTCATTTATAAACCAGACATGGACCACCACAATACTTGTAAAGCCAAAATATTTCTTTGCTAAGTGGAATAAACCAGAGTACCATTCAAAGCATAAGAAAGATTAGAATTCCACTTAAGAGTGAAGAGTGAGGACTACATGGCAAGACCTAATGAAAATATATCAATAGAGTCGAGACAAAAACGTCCAAAGAGAGAGAAGAGTAATTCAAAGAAAGAAAATCCTACCTTCATTTATGCTACCTTGCGGAGTAGAGGCAACGGCAAGGAGCACAGAGAGCAAAAAAATGGTGGAGGTGTTTAGGGAGAGGGAGAGATGTGTGGCTAAGGTTTTACAAAATAGATTTTAATTAATTAATTAATGCATTCATTAAATTTAACCGCCAACATTTAGAGGTTCTCAACGAATGCGTGCACCGGGATCGTTTAGACTCGGCTGGGTCTGGTCAAAGCTCTAGACCAAGCCCATTGACCCAATCCTTAGCATGAGACAATGAGTAATGGGCCGGTCTTAAATATTAGGTCTGAGGTGCAGGACCGGACCCCCCGTCTTGGGGCTAGGCTGGAGCCCGTTTGAATTTTTTATTTTTTAGCTTTTATTTCATATTTTAAGTAAGCAATGAAAAAGAAACAAGGTTAAATGTTAATTTTGATACCTTAATTCTTAGGTTTGCATAATTTTTATTTTTTAATTTTTTATGTACTTTTTTGGTCCCTTAACTATGAAAAATACACTTTTTAATCTTATGATAGTTAATTCGTTAAATCCATCTAAATCTACATGTTTTTAGTTTTTCAACTTCAAATATATGTATATTTTTTATCCCTCAACTTAAAGTTAAGAGACAAAAAATATCTATATTTAGACAAACTTAATAGATTAACTAATAGAAGGATAAAAAAAGTATATTTTTCATAGTTAAAAAATTAAAAAAATACATAAAAATTTAAGAAATCAAAATTAACATTTAACTAAGAAATACAATGAAAGGACTTACTAACTAAATCTCTAGCCACAAACAGAAGACTCAATCCACATACCATTTACTCAATTATTGTTTAAGTTTTTAATTTTTTCTTTTTAATCAATAAATTTCAAAAAAAAATTATTAATTGAGATTTATATTTTATAGTTTAAATTATGTATTAAAAGTACAGTCCAGAGGTCCCCAATCACGTGCCCTTTGCAGATACAAAATGGCAGATACCAAATTGCCACTGCCTCTTTGTAGATCTATCTTGGTAAATGACAGCTCCATTCATCCAGTCTTGCATAAAAGATAACTCGATCGCCTAAATTGTAACTTATTCATTTATTTATAATATAGTTGTATTTGATCTCAAACTGGCGGTTGATAACCAGATAGAGGATTAAAGTTGCACTTGCACCACATAAAAAAAGAGTACTCATCATCAAAACAGATGACTGAGAAAGACGAACCCCTTACTCCATTCATACTTACTGACAGCTAATTAACATAGCAGATTGTAAAATTGTAAGAGTAATAATAATTAAGAGTGAGACAGAGAAAGATTAAGATTGTAATATAAAAGAGAGTTGTGAAATTATTTGTTGAAACTGATATATCCACAAAGTAGATAAATTGCAAACAAGATCGAATCATAACAATAAATTCAATAAAGGTGGAAGAGTGCTTTTAATGATTAGTAATTATGCGATCAACACATGTAGGAAATGTTCAAGAAAGAATCAAAATTGCAATGATAGAAGCTCCCAACTTACTACAGGATATAATAAAAAAATTATTATATAGTCTAAATTACATAATAATAACAATTATATAAATAATAAATTTTGTGATATAAAAAGTTATTTTTTATTTAATCATCTTTATTTTATAGTTTAAACCAATAACTATAAAACAAAATCTTTTGATATAACTAGTGGTTTTATTTTTCCAACTTTTAATTTCTTCAATTGAGTCCCTTTTTTCTTCTTCTGGAATTTTCCAAGTTCTTTTTGCATGTAGCACCTGAAACAAAATAAAGATATATTAGTCAAAGAAAAAGGAAATTTTCATATTTTTATATTTTTGATTTTTTTTGTTTTTATTATATTTCTTTTGATAAAAATTTGAGTTATGGCATATATATCAGCACCTTCCTTCATTTTAATAGCATTAATCACATTGAATAAGTACACTCCCCTCTTTAGATAGGGTAGATTCAATTTCATGTTAAATTATTCAAAAAAGAAAAAACAAAATATATATATCAACACTTGTCATCAATGGGTGGTGTTAACTTTTTTTATATTATTTTTTAATATAATTTTTATATGTTATTAAACAAATTGATACATTTAATATTATAAATTTTAC